AAAGATATCTTTGTTCTATGATTATTTTTGTATCAGCGATGCACAAAGATTATCATACGATTAAACTTCGATAACTGCACAGCGTTTGTAAATCGAAGAATTTAAAAGTCCAGACAGTTTAAAAAAATTAAACGAGTTCGATTCTGCAGATGTTTTAAGAATTCCAAGACTTGCGAAATACTGTTTACAAAATGCAGTTGTCAGTTAAAATTAATGTATCGCAATGCGTGAAATCGCTGGTTGAGATTAAATAAATCCGCGTAACGCGCTAAATAATCCTATCGAGATCTTCAAATATGAAATACGTTGCAGAATAATCGATAATTGCAATTATTGAGTCTATCAACTGTCCGAAGAGTATTCTTTTGATTGTGAATATCGGTACTCGGGTGTACGAGAATTTCCGCTACTCGATGAAAATGTTGCAGGCGAGTTCTCGCCAATCGTACGTCGGAAGTATCGAGATGATGAGAGAGATAACAAGAGAATCGACAGCAGGCCGAGACACTTGTTTTCTGCAGGTCAAGTGACACCTGTATACCTTTGATCTCGGCGATGTGTGCGTCGTACTCGCTTCTGCTGCGCACATACTCGATTCTCGCGGCGACATTCTGGAAGCTCTGATTGCGATATTCGGCGTACCACTCCGCGGGCGGCCGTTCATCCGCGCCGAATTGCTGGACCCGAGGGCTGCTGCTTCTTCTCTGCGATAGGCTCTCTTCCGAGGGGAACCTCGTGAAAGAGGTGACCGAGCTGGACTTGCTGCCGTGGCTCTGCACGCCATGGCTATGACTCTGATAGGCCGAGTCCTCGAGGATGTGCTCCTCGCTAGGAGTTCTGCTTGATTCTGTCAAGACGCGCTGCTGAACAACCGCGGTGTCGCCGTTGGTACTACCCGAACTGATCGCACGTACGCTCTTCCTCACGGTGATCTTTTCGAACTTCACGACCTTAGCGCCGTTCAGCTCGCCTTCCTCCACCAATCGCTCGAAACTTTCCTCGAACGAAGAATCACTTGCCCTGGAAGACAGTCGCCGTTGGGTCGGAGACCGGATAGGTCTGCGCGCGTCCGAGTCTTCCAGGAGATCCTCGGTGCTGGGACTACGTCCAGTCGACCAGACCTGTTCGAAAAAACTCACCCGGTCCCTCAGCCGGGTACCACGTGGCGTTCTCGGACTGCCGCTACCATCGGCGCCGCCACCGCCGGGGCTGTCTACCCTCGGCGGTGTTGGACTACCTTTGGGTGGTGTCGCCCGTGACATGTTCGTGTTCTTCTATCTCATTGTTTCTTCCCAAGAATCGTCAACCGGTATGTCACGTTTGATTGAGTCCGCAGGACAGCCCGGTTCTTCTTTCTTCCCTTCCCTAGTCCTGATTTTATGAGTCCGAGAACTCTTCAACACCTGTTCTCCCGACACCACACCCCTTACACTACAGGTTACGTATGCCGCATTCACGTCACCTGCTCCGTTTTAATGACTGTCAAGAGCGTACGAGTATCTACAGACGCGCCTAGTCGTTCTATCAATCGAATCGGCAAACTTCAACCCTGCTTGCGAGTATATCTCGGGCTGATTTTCTATCAGCACCGATAACAGCGGGGTGCGCACCTACGTATAGTTTGCGTTGGAGGCGCGCGCATGGAATGTACGAATACGGAATGTATACGGTATGGCCGTGCGCGACGGGCGCCGGTTCGATACTACCGGCCTGTCGAGACCTCCTCCTTTGGTCTCCTCCACCTCGTACCGCCGCCATTCCCACTTGCCCGACGATGATGACGCGACGCGACAATAAGCAATGCCGGTACCAGAGACAAACTCGACCGCCGGACTCCCTCCGAAGAAAAACTCGCGGTCCCGAGGTCCTTTTCCCGGTTCGATCAATCCCTCTGTCCTGACTCTTTCTTAACTCTTTTGGCCCGCTCAACTATTTACGATGCCAGCCGGCAGGTCGACTAGCTCGTCGACCGTCAATGCGGTCGCTTCAGGTGCTGCCTCTCTCACGAGGGGAAACTTCGAACGGCTCGAATTAATCAATGATTAGGCGGTTATAATTGTTGTGGCATGTGGAGTTGACATAATATATAAAGAATAAGCAGCCTTTTGATATAATAAATATGTAGAAGTTTTTTCCTGAAATATATAATATATATATTTTACAAGATTATCTCTTACAAATTTCAGATTCTACAGAGAACGAGAAATTGAAAGAATTACTACTAGAGGAAAGTGACAGAAGTTCATTAGAAGCTTTAGTTGTTTTTCCTGTAGAATCTTGTATGTTAATCCTTACTAAGTTCGAGTTAAAATATAGTGAGACAAATATCAGCATCAGGAGACGAAATTAGAGTAGTCTAAGTCCGGTTTGACGTTGCGGTATAAAAAAGAAGATTAAAGGTCTTAAGAGATAAAAATATACTCGAAGTTGCATCAAACAATCCATAAATCTCAGGAGGAATTGATTCGAAAATTTAAATCATACCGGAATAGGATGATTTTACAACGAAGTATTTAACAAATTCAGCTAAATACAAATCTGAAAATCATTTGGACCATTAAAATGACTGTATAGAACGCTCAAATCGATTAATAGAATATCAAAAGCTTTTTGCAGCATTACCCATTATACTTGATATTCCTACGTAATTATTTTGATGGTCCAACAAAATTATTTTCAGATCTGCGTATCTAATTAAATTTTTAAATACTTTAGCGAAAGTTTTTTCCGCGTATAGTAATCCATTGCAAATATACCTTATTGGTATGTATAATGTAAATATGGAAATAATCAAATTACATCACGCGTGCAGTTACGCCATTAAAGCAACTAAGTGCGTATGAGCGATAATTATATGATTATTTCGCGGATTAAAAGAATTATCATGTAATTGTCCATAGTCATGCTACTTCTAGCAAGCAATCCTTTTTGCTAATAATCGATGTAATAGTAGTACGATTTCCTTAACTCGATCATTAATGTCACGAATAACTCATCAGCTCCATTCGCAAACATCGTTCTGACATGTTGCAATCTACGGCAAAGCGGTCCCCACAATTACAGAGCATCCCCACATCTTAATCGGGCACGCGATATCCAGCGTGCAATCAACTTGTACATCAAGTAACCTGGCGCTGAATTTAATTGACCAGCGAGATGTCAATTTCATACACATTTATCTCCCTGAGTCGTGAATTCGTTCACATAATCCACGAGATTTATTAAGCACGCATGAAGCACGCGCAAGCACGCGCTACAAATTTTAATGAGCGTGTTACGATCTATTAATACCCAAATTCCAATTGACATCATTTCGTCAAAACATTCCGAAACTTGGTAGTAAAGAATTTAAATAGCACTTTAAATATATATAAAACGTCGTCAACCTTGCATGAAGAATAATTAAATTTCTTTAAAATAGAACTTTTTTTTTTATCAAATGCTTTCTAGAAGAAATTTAATGATATATTTGAACCGAAGCACATTTCTGGGACATTTTTTGTATGTGTGAATCGAGAACTTTGAACATTGTGTTATCAATCTAACGAGGTGATTCGTCCAACCAGGGCCGACAGCGAAGTGTCGCTGACAGGAAAAGCGAACGTAACGATTGCGAATGGCGCGGCAGGTGTTCGTCATGTCTATTTATAACTCGTTCACGTCTTCGCGGATTCTATCCTATTTTCCCGTGCACCACAGTTCGATTCGAGTATGCGAGACGCACGACGCGACGTCGCGATCCGTTGCGCAAGAACCACAGACGAATTACGATCCTGCAAATGCACATACCGCAAGTAACGATGTGTCTCCCTTCTACATTTTTTGCGATCAATTCAGATCTGCAAACAAGGAAATCTGATTTCCAGATCTTCTGTACAAGTACATATACGGGGTGTCCCGCAATTATTGACATAGCGTTTTTGTGTGGATAGAGCAGACTAAATTGAGTCGAAAAGTCCTCTATTATTTTACAATCTTTGCAATAGTTAATAAGATATTAATTACTAAATTACCGAATATTGGTTTTCAATGATTTTTTACTCGAGTACCATAAACTTTACAGAAAAATAACAAGTGACAAAAATTGTTTGTTTCCCTCTCATAGAGTTCTGAGAATTTTTTCAGAATTCTTTAGCACCGCATTTTCTCATGTTGGTTGCCAAAAGAGCATATAAGAAAATGTAGTATTAAAAAGTTGATAAAAAATTCTAAAAAATTTCTTAAAGCTCTGTGAGAAGAAAATAAACAATTTTTAACTTCTTAATATTGTAAACAATTTTTATTTTCTGTTATTTTTTGTTTGTTTGTCTGTAAAGTTGACAGTACTTGAGTAAAAAATTATTTCAGATATTCGGCGATTTTTAGTAATTAATATCTTGTTAATTATTGTGAAAATTACAAAAAGAGAACTCATTTTAGTCCGTTCTATCACTTTTATCTACACAAGAGCGCTTTATCAATAATTAATGGGATACCCTGTATAGATATATATTTTTTGTTTCTAAAAATTACTAATAT